AAAAAAAAAAAACAAAAAGGAAGATACAATGATTATAAACGTGTATGCACCTAACAACAAAGTCCCAAAATACATGAGGTAAAATGGGATAAAACTGAAAGAAGAAATAAACAATTTAATAGTAACTATGGTTTACAATAGAGAAAAGAAGTCAAAGACTTGCTTCCAGATTGGAATGTTAGAGTGGATTGTCATTTAAGACCACCCCCAGAGGGTCCAGAGGACACAATTTTTCTCTGTGACTATGAGAAGTGAATTTGTGGGGGCGGGGGTTGGGGGGAGCCCCAGCATCCTTAAAGTGAGCTCTCTGATCACTCATCTCTGTAGGCCAGAACTTATAGTGGCAACAGTGGCCACTGAATTGGGAAACCTAAATGTAATGAGAGTAATTGGACTCTGGGGAGGTAGGGGTCCAGTGGTGGCCCTCAACCACCAAAGGCAAGGTAGGTGTGGTTACGATAATGGATGGCAGGGTCAAAGGAGCACTCAGAATAGTCTGACCCACAGAATAGTCTGTGGTTTGGGCTAGTTGATCATGGTACCCCCAGAAGTGAAATAGATGGGAAGCTTACTAAACCCTTATTTGTTCTATTTGTTCTGTATAAGCAGAAGAGTTCTAGATCAAGTGAACGAAAGTCTAACTTGAATCATAAAAACAGAGAGTCACAGCCTCTCAATCAACTTCTGGAGTTGAGCCAGTTCACAAACCCAAGTCCCTCGAATAAAGGGGAGGCCAGGTCACCTTGAGGAAAGTCCCCAGTACACTACTGAAAATTTATACTATTAATCTTTCTCTCAGCCTCCCCCCCCTCCCCGGGACCTATGGCTGGCCCTTTACCAGGGTGACTGTGCGTTGGGGAAAAGGCAATAATCAGACCTCTCAGGGATTACTGGACACTGGCTCTAAACTGACACTAATTCCAGGAGACCCAAAACATCACTGTTGTCCACCAGTCAGAGTAGGGCCTTCTGGAGATGAGATATGGGTCCAGTGGGTCCCCAACCCCATCCTGTGGTTATTTCCCCAGTTCTGGAATGCACAATTGGAATAGATACACCTGGCAGAATCTTCCTATCGGTTCCCTGACCTGTGGAGTAAGAGCTATTATGGGAGGGAGGGGCATAGCAAAGGGAAAGCCACTAGAACTGCCTCTACCTAATAAAATGGTAAACCAAAGCAATACTCTTGGGATTCCAGAGATTAGTGCTACGATTCTCACTCCATTCCCATTCAACGCTCCTATGTGGCTTGTGCAGAGGACAGATGGAGCTGGGAGCATGACGGTGGATTATTGCAAGCTTAACCAGGTGGTAACTCCAATTGCAGCTGTTCAACCAATGTGGTTCCATTGCTTAAGAAAATGAACACACCCCCTGGTACCTGGTGTGCAGCTCTTGGGCAGGCAAATGTCTTTTTCTCTGATCCTGTACCTAAGGGCCGCCAGAAGTTGTTTGCTTTCAGC